GCGGCTACGGGCGGCGACAGGCGGTCAGCAGGCTACGAGCAGCTGACAGCGACGGGCAGCGGGCAGCTGGCGGCTAAGGGCAGCCAGCGGGCTGGCGGCTACGGGCGGCCAGCGGCGACAGGCGGCCAGCGGCTACGGGCAGCTGGCAGCGACAGGCGGCGGGCAGCTGGCGGCTAAGGGCGGCCAGCGGGCTGGCGGCTACGGGCAGCTGGCGGCTACGGGCGGCTGGCGGCTACGGGCGACCAGCTGCGACAGGCTACGAGCAACGTGCGGCGGGCAGCTGGCGGCTACGGGCGAAGGGCGGCCAGCGGCGGTGAGCAGCGAGCAGCTAGCAGCGGCGGCTAGCTACGGTCGGCTAGGAACGGGCGGCTAACGACGGGCAAATCGGGCTAGGGTTAGGACTAGGGCGGAAGTGCGGGTGGGCTGGATCCTAACATAGCGTGGTACCATCTCAGAGTAGAAAGATTGACTAGAATGATCGGGTACAAGGGAATATAACCTAAGGTGTTGTACTCTCTAAGAGTATGCACCTGTTTAGCCTATATTAACATGTACGCATATGTTTGACATGTATAAGTTGACAGAATGACTAAATCTGGCCGTTGGGGACTTAGATGAAAATTTTGGGTGAGGGCAGGTAGGTGTAGTACCGGTATGTCTCTCTCAGGGTCCATATGCACTGCACTCTGAAAACTGAATATTCGCTAACTGCCAAGTATGAGATTCTCAGGATTCAAATAACTCTGAAGGGTTCAGTATTTAGAAAATGGCAAGTCTGAAAAATCGGGATCGGCAAAAAAAAAGGGTCTGAAATTTCAGACAATCAGACTAAAATAGTGTGGTAAAATCAGCCATGGACGTGGCTTATTACAACTTCAGGTCATTCAAATGGTTGTTTTCCAACCCAATTTTCCAAGATGTTCACGAACAAGACACGCCCTGAAGGACCCGGATTCTTTTGGATTTGAGTATCCACAACTCTCCAGTGTATGGGGAAATGTGACATGTTCAAGACACAGAATGTTGAACAACAATGCTAGAATATCAGGATGCAGCTTATCATGTATAGACCTCTGGCTGCATTTCACAAAACTCGTTTCGAGTGTTTTGGTTCAAAGCTGTTACAGAGAAAGTTACTTTTAGGGCGTGTTAATTGCGTTCGTATACTAGTCACTTTGCATATCAGGTACGACATTTCGACCTGGTAACCTGAAATTTCGTGTCCATTCGGACTCGCACGAGAAATTGACGGTTTTGGCGGACACCCTCCAAACTTGCCCACAGACGTGGGCCGCACGTTTCCGAACCGAATGGAGATCGTGCGCAAATTATACACACGGCAGAAACGTCCAGATCCTGGATGGCGAAAAATGGAACGCTCATATTCGCCAGGCTTTCGTGACGCATGCGAAGAACCGGGTGGGGCCTTTTTCCCGGGGAGGAATTCGGTTACCCTGCTGTTTTCGCGTGTCAGTCTGTTATGTGCGCGCTGCGCACCTGCTCATTTGTCGAGACACGGGCGGGACACGTGTCCGCGCGTTTTGCTGTTGATACTGAAGTGTACCTCAACAGATTGACACTTGGAGTTTCAATATTTCGGCGTGTTGAAAGAAAACGTCAAAACTCGTGTTGGGGTTAAATGAACGCGCTGGACACGCCATTACAGGGACATTGAACTTGGTCTGCTCACTATGTAGCACGTCTATTGGTCACATTTCGTCATCCTCACCTCAGTCCCTCCCTAGCACTCACTCGCAGACAGCTCCATTTCAATTCCCCGGCCCCCCACATTTCCCCCCTCTCCCGCCCTCCCCCCGCTCACTCTCCCCACCTTCCCGCACCCCATCGCCCTCTCCCCTAGAGTACACCTGTTATGGTATTGGATACCCGAAACTTGCCGTACCGTAGCAGACTCGAAGCAGAACACCGAACGGGACTCAATGCCGAAATTTTTCTGTACCTATCACAGTTCGAGTGTTACACATGATCCCGCCTACAGACATCCGTGCTACTCGCCCAATCGCGGTTAAGGACCCATTGACGAATACACCCTGCTCTTATCCCCTAGTGTATATGCACAATCGCTGTTCCACATGAAACGACCCACAAGAGTGTACTGTACAAGATAGCGCACAGATTTTACAGCAACCAATAGGATTCGTTCAGAATATTACGTTAGCAAAAAACAACGTCCTAGCGAAGTCACTAAAAGGCTTTTCGTCAGCCAACGAGCCTTTAACACGCCACATAAACAAAGAGATTCTAGCAAGAACATATTCTGATGTTCGAATGCATCACCAATGAACACGTCAGCGTACGCCAACGCAGATTGCAGGCGTGTTCTACGAAATTCAAATGCGTGGGTATGAACCACGTCTATCCGAACAACCTCCAGCCACACACTGTTACCCCATCCATCTCCGCTTTCGCCCAACTGACAACATATTTGCCCGCTCTTTACTCGTTATCGTTACTCGTCAATGCGCCGCTGACGATTGCGGCGCCAGGAACTCGCCGCGGGAGTCGAGGAGCGACGAGGAAGACCGCGGGTCGGACGAGAACGAGAACGACAACAAGGTGGGAGATCTGCGGAGGCGGCACACGTGGCAGCTTTAGTCGCAACTCTACCTGTCCAACTCTGCCGCCCTCACCTCTGCGCGAGGTCTCGGCGACACCCGTCACTCCAACCGTCACGGCGACTCCTCTTATTTCGAGAACTCTGCGGGCCTAGCAGGGTTGGTAGGGCCGGTGCCAGCGAGCGGTGTCGCGCCGTCGCCGCGTCTCACGGAAGCGCTGCTGCTGCTGATGCAGGCGACGCAGCATCAGCCGCTTCATGACAGCAGCCGCAGCAGCGGGCTGACGTCAAAGTGGCTACGTCTGCAGCTTCTGCAGCACCGCAAAGTGATCGAGTGGCTGGCGTTGCTGTCGGACCTGGTCGAACCGACTCCTACCGAAGGTCCATTTGAAGCCGCAGTGTTACAGCCTGCGAACGCGTTTAAAGCGAATAACGCTGTGGCGGTGCTTGCGGCACTAACAGCTGAGCATGTGTTTCTACCTCTCACCTCGAAGGTTCTTTACTCGATGGGCGCGCGTCGCCCATCCCGCCGGCCAAAGAAGACCTGCTGCACTTGCCGGCAAGCTTAGCCGCCAACCGGCAACGAAAATTGGAGTGTGGCGGCAGTCCGTCTGGCACGCCGAGTCCGGGGGTGCCAAGCCTGCGTGGCGTGGTAAAGCGGACGCGCTGGACGATTGCGGGTGGAGAGACAGCGGCAGAGAGTGTCGTTGGGTACTATGGGAGTTTGGGGAGCATGGCACCGTGGATATGGTTGAAATGGGAAGGCTGAAAATGTGGACTTGGGCAGGAGTTGGAATATGGTGTCATCTCTGGAAATACATTCCACTGTTGTAAACTAAGTGTTGTAATTTTGTATATGTTGTGTCATAAACGTAGTGCAATTTTGTTGTTATTGTAACATGACCCGTTTCATGCGGGTCAGAAGCTTCTCGCGCCGGTTACCAAAACGGACGCACATAGGCCGTCCGCATTTAATGACTACAATCAGGCTACTCCCGCCCCCGATGTGTACAAGCCCTTTTTGCCCGGTGTTTTGGCCGGAGGATACATGCATGCACCACACAAAAAAATGCATGGCTATATCGTAGAACAGGTGTATTTCATGCGGTAATTACTTCATTAGCCAATCAACTTCCGTCAACGAACTCAGTTTGTTGGACTTCGATCAGGGATTCCGGTTCAAACCGGTAATTGCTCTTGTAATTGGGGTGATAAATATGCATAGTAGATACCGTAAAGATATCGTAAAACATTAGTTTTTTTTTAACTAGAACCATACATCCAATAATGGACAGTAGCCACAGTCACAACTGATAAAAACGTTTTGTTATCTGAGACGTCGTGTACAATTAGAACAGTTCTCCGCCACCATGGCCTCAGTTCCCCGCCCAAACAATCTCCTGCCGCAATTTCACTCCTAGCCACCGCCTTTGCCACAGGACCATGACGATCACCACACCTCCCCCTTCCGCTGACCTTACCGCTCCTCCCAATCTGCGATCAATCCAAGTGTGAGGGGATTCGATCGAGAAGCAAGGCCCCGCACACACACCCGCCACACTCCCCGCATGCAGGCCTCTTGCTAACAGGGTAAGTACTCTTAATGTCAAGAAATTAAGTGTAAATTTCGAATTGATTCCGTTTTTAACATTTTGTTTTTTTCCGAATCCGTCCAGCTTACGGTAACAATTTCGCGCGATTCCTTAGCCTAACGAGTACTTTTTCTTCGAATCCGTACGGGCTATACTTGTAGCAGGGAAATCTGTAGGGGGTAACGACCGCCCACCACCCCCACGCCTCTCCCCCCCTCCCCCACCCTACCCCCACCCCCCCCCCAACCCACCTTAGATCACTTGCTAGCCGAATTTGTAGCGGCCGATTCCTTTCGGTAAGGGTTTTTTTGGAGGAATTCCGTCTGTTAACGGGTGATCCTGAGGTGATTCCCTCCCCTTCCAGAATACCCTGGGGCTTAGTGAGAGGCCTGCCCGCATGTACAGCACTTGCGCGAATTCCCAATCATGCCCCACCTCCCCCACCCCACCCTCGTCGCTTCTGTGCGCGAACAGGCAGCCATGCAAGAAGCACCACTGCCGTGCGCGCACGGCCCCCAGCATTACGCGCGCATTCCGTTTCGCTCCGCATGTTCTCAAGACAATTTCATCCTGTCCCAACTTTCCGGCCATTCCTTTTGCCCCGACATTCCCCCTCGCCCCTTCCCCACCTTCCCCACCTTCCCGCCTTTCCCCCATCTGCCATACTGTGTGCCCCTGCCTGCCCCCAACTTCCGCTCATATCTCCGCGTGAGTGATGTTTTGCGCAAAACATGACTGACTGCACAACTTGCCACGTAACAGCACGGCTCGGCAACCATGGCTCCTTCCGTCCGTTTCCCAGCCGTCCTCGTGCGGACGGTCACTTCCCTTACCACCCACTCTACAATGGATTCTCCTTCTGCAGCTGAGCCTACAATGCTGTTGATCCGTCGCGAGACTTAGTGGTGACTAATAATCTTACTACGGAGTGCTGGAGTGCGGTGTTTGTGCGAAAACGCAATTTATTGCTACCCATCAGGGGAAGAGATAGCAGGTATCTTGCAATACTAAGGCGGAGGTACTATCTCGTCTAATTCTGTGCAGCAAGTCCCGCTGGTTTCGACGTTAGGAGGGATGCAGCGTAACCTTTGAAGGCCACTTTCGGGCTCTACGTGCAAGCAAGCTGACGAACAGTGTGGGTAGTCCAGCCTCTGCCAGTGTCACCGCGAGGCTCCCCTGTTGGCTGTACCGGAAGCGGGGTGTTACAGATCCCGAGACACGGAAGTTGAAAGGCTGAAAGTTTTTTCAAAACGTCCGTCGCCCCCCTGCTTGCTATAACGACGCGTTTGCGTGAACAGCCAACGGCGAGGATCTTATAGTCGGGGGTGCGTTGAAGGCCGGTGGAAGGTAGCGAGGGGGGGACTGCCGATTCTTTAACCGACTGGCGCGAGCTCGCGCGAAGAACGGGGGATGGTTTGAACGGAGATCTTTTACCACGCTGATCAGAGGAAGGAAGACGGCATAGAACTGACACGGCGTCGAACTGACAAACGACCTAAAACCGTAAGAGAGGAGAAGACGCGAAGGACATTGAGCACACCTCCTGCTGCAGCTGCCGACACTGCTGCTTACAGCTGCTGCTGCTTTCAACACCTGCTGCTTGCAGCTGCTGCTGCTTTCAACACCTGCTGCTTGCAGCTGCTGCTGCTTTCAACACCTGCTGCTTACAGCTGCTGCTGCTTTCAAACACCTGCTGCTTGCAGCTGCTGCTGCTGCTGCTGCTGTCAGGCAGCACCGGCAGTCATGGCCAACACCGCGTCCCTCAGCATCCCATCTCTCGTCTCCGCTCCACCTGCTGCTTTCGCCATCAACCTCTCCGCCGCATCTCCCGCTCCCAACCCCTCCGCCGAAGCGCCGCAGCAGCCGCTCTCGCGCCTTCAGGCGCACGCCATGCTCATCGCTGCCGCCACGGGCCGCGTCGCGCAGCCCGCTCGTCCCGCTCGATCCGCTCTTCCCGATCTTCCCGGCGCGATTGACGGCGATATGGGGAGTCTTTCTGGTGCCAGCGATAAACGCGCGGGTAGCAACGGGAGCAACGCTAGCGGTAAATGCGGCACGGGTAACGACATTGGGGCGAATAGCAACGGCAACACCAATATACGTGATAGTGCCAGCGCCGGTACTTGCAAGTGCGGGATTTCAGCGTCGGCGCATGCGACAGCGGCGACGACAGCTGCGATGAAAGCTGCGTGCGACACTCCGGCTTGCGACACTGGTTCCAGGAATGATGTTAGGAACGGTGGAGGTCACAAGCACGGCAGCTGCGGTGGCTGCGGCTACGGCAACAGGGATGGCTGTACCGCGTTGTCTGCCGCCGCGGCAGGGAGCGGCAGGGAATTCGCGCTGACAGATTATCTATTGGGCCAAGGGGACTCGTTAGCGCGCGGAGATTCGCCAGTCCGCGGAGATTCGTTAGTCCGCGGAGATTCGTCAGTCCGCGGAGATTCGTTAGCCCGCGGAGATTCGTCAGTCCGCGGAGATTCGTTAGTCCGCGGAGATTCGTTAGTCCGCGGAGATTCGTTAGTCCGCGGAGATTCGTCAGTCCGCGGAGGTTCGTTAGTCCGCGGAGATTCGTTAGCCCGCGGAGATTCGTTAGTCCGCGGAGATTCGTTAGTCCGCGGAGATTCGTCAGTCCGCGGAGATTCGTTATCCCGCCTGTTATCCGATACAGTGCCCTCGCAGCCGAAACGATCTTCCCCGCCCATCGTAACCTTCTCCGCTCCGCCCTCCGGAGCCAGCGGCCAATTTAGCCGAGCCAACTTCCGAGCCTCCTTCCTGGCCTTCCGTTCACGAGCCTCTTCCACCTCGCTTCCCATCCGCCTCGTCGCTACCCGCGCCGATGGCGGCCCTTCTGGGCATGACACGTGGCACGGATCCGCTGCAGTTCATGGGGATCGAACGGCGGCAGCTGCTAGCCGCGGCATTGGCGCGCAGCACCTCCTTTCCGTCAGGAAGCTGCCCGTCGCAAAACTACCCGTCCCAGATCTCCTCTCAGCCGTCCGATTCGCTCTCTTCCCGCGCCTCGCTCAACCCGCCCGCACCCTCCGCGTCTCTGCTCCCGTGTCTATCTCGCTGCCCCGTTTCTGGCGGCTCTCAGCGCGCCGCCTCTCCGTCGTTTGCGGCGGCTTCCGCCGCCGCCGCCGCTGGTGATGCCGCCGCTGCCGTTGGTGCTACTCCCGCTGGTGGGCTGGACGTACTGGGGCGCATGACGCGCGGGTGTCGCTCCGCGGAAGCAGGGCGGGAGGGGGGAGCGGAAGGGGCAGCGGAAGGAGCAGAAGGGGCTAATCTGAAGGCCGGCACCGGGGCAAGCACAGGCGCAGGCGCAGGCATAAGCGGAGGCGTAAGCGAAGCAGATGCACCCGCCGAGCTACTAGCGCGGATGACAGGGAGCCTATCAGACGTAATTGCGGGTGGATTGGATGCAACGGTGCCCGTCCTGGCACCAACAGTAGCAAAAGCAGCAGCCGCAGCAGCAGCCGCAGCGCCAGCAGCAGCCGCAGCGCCAACAGCAGCAGCAGCAGCGTGGGTCCCTGTGACGCCTCGCGAGGACGACATCAACGAGTGGCTGGCGAAGGTGCTCGGGCCAGGGGGCATGCAGCGCCGAGGGCTGCAGGGGCAGGGAGTAACTTGCGGCCGGGAACCGTTGCAGGCAGATGCGGGCCGGGATGTAAATGCAGGTCTGGCTGTAGGCTTCGGTCGGGCAGCTGGTTCGGCACAGGTGGCAGGTGCAGGTCCGGCATGGGGTGTGGCACAGCCAGGAGGTTCGGGTGAGGTGACAGGTTGGGGTGGGGCAGTGGGTGCGGATGGGGCGCTTGGTTCGGGGAATTGGCAGGGTTGGCTATGCATCGCATGGACGGAGGTAGAGGGGGCGGTATTGTAGTGGAAGGAGGCGGGAGTATTGTGATGGAGGGGGGTAGTATTCCAATGGAGGGGGGTAATGTGGCGACGGCTGGGAATGAAGGGGCCATGATGACTGGTAGTGGTGATGCGATGATGGCAGCACAGCTCATGTACCGTCGCGTGCTGCTAGACAGATACAGACAAGCGCGGCCGGCCACTGCCAGCCAGCACGCTGACGTGGCTTCTCGTGCTTGTGCTAGCAGCAGTGTGCTCGGTCTGCTGCGCGGGTTGGAAGGCTTGCAGGGGCAGCAGAAAGGCTTGCAGTTTGGGCGTTTACTGGCAGGCGCAGAGCAGCCACAGGCACTAGCACAGGCAGCAGCACCACCACAATCAGCAGCAGCAGCAAGGGCTGCTCCAGCAGCAGCAGATTCAGCGTTGGCGAATACGGCGAGCTGCTTTGCGCACTCCTCTGTGGCGGGCGCGGCTGCTGCGACAGAGGTTGCAGGCGCCATGCTGCAGAGACACTATCAAGCGGCGGCCTCCGCTCAGCTTGCTCTTGACTCCAGGCCGTCCCTGCTCTGTTCTCCTCCCGCACTCGGGCAAACTCCCCAAATTCCCCAAACTCCCGGCATGAGGGGTTGCCACAGAGCTGTCGTACCCCACCGTGGACTGGTGTCACTGCGGGTGCGGGAGAGCGCTTTCGGATCTTACCGACGCTGTGCCGAGATGCGGCTACTCTGCTCCAAGGAGGAGGAGGTGGAGGAGGAGCAGGAAGAGCACGAGGAGGAGAACCAGGAGGAGGGGAGGGGAGGGGAGGTGGGAGGACAGCAGGAATGTCAGTGTCGACTTTTTCTGCACTTGCAGAGCAAAGGCTGGCTGCCCATGCCTATGTGACAGGGTCCGGTGTGCAAGCTCTCGCCCCAGACTCCATGCCATTTCCTGCAGCTGGTGACGCGTGTGAAGCTGCTGGCGTCTCTCTGACTCAGTGGGGCTCGGACCAGCAGTGGGGCTCGGACCAGCAGTGGGGTTGGGGCCAGCAGCAGCAGCAGCAGCAGCAGCAGCAACAGCATGCTAGTGTGGAGGAGTTAGTTCAGCAGTGCGCCAAGAGGTGAGCTGTCTGCACTCTCTCTCTTTCTTCCTGCTGTTGTTTCTGCTGCTGGTGGTTTGCCTGTCAGTGAAGTACCTGATGTTTCTTTCACCTGTTGTAAATCATTAACACTCACTTCACTCATCCAGATCTGTTGTCTGCACACCTGCTGCATTCTGTTGTGTTCGGTTGTGGGCTGTTGTGTGTTCATTGGTGCTGGTCCATTCAGGGAAGCAAGCTGCTCTTCAAGACAACGTTCATAATGTTCAACGTAGACAACGGCTGCTTTAGGGAACACACACCGTAATCCCCCGGATATAGGTGCATAGGGCTTATAGCGGATGGGCTCGTGTAAGGATATTTATGGAAAAGGTATTTGACCACATGAAAATGTAGCTCTTTAAAAATGTGATTTTCCAGACCACTCACAAGTGGGGTCGTGTTGGTAAATTGGGAGGAATCGCCGCTCAAATATTCTGCCAGCGTTGCTACTACAATGTTGCCTGGCGGTCCAATACCCGTATTCATCTGGATATGCCGTAATCCCCCGTATATAACACCCGCCGAAATAGTCACCCGTGGGTGGTATATGCGGGGGAGAGCTTATGATAGGGTGCATTTTGGACAGCACCCGCTTTTCAGGGGTTGCATTTTACATAACACCCTGCTAATTTTATGCAGCAAAGAACAGTATTCCGTCGTTTTTCAGCTACTCTCGATTGAAAAAAACAAGCAAGATGAAAAATGCAATGTCAACTACCGTAAATTATGAGGCGCTTATTGGCCCTTCACCAAATTCGTGGCTCGACGCGTGGGGCAGTGTGAGGGAGGGCACTTGGTCCTCGTAATCACCCGGATAGACGCCCCTCCGTAGGATTGTCCATGGGCTTTAACTCGTGCATTGGACTTATAAGCATTATTCGATTACACGCCCCTCCTCTCTGCTCTGGATCAAATCCCTATACGCCCCCCCTCTTTTGAAACAGCATTTGAAGGAACTAGCCAAGTTAGGCAAAATGCACTAAAAACATAATTTTTTAGACAGTTAGAAGTCATCCTATTCAAACCTTAACCTGGTATATGCAACACTTTCAGGCTAGCATTGGTTATCGCACATTACACCTACTCCTAGTCTACTCCTACTCCTCCTCCCCTTCCTCCTCATCCTCCTCATTCTCCTCATCCTCCACCTCCTCCTCCTCCTCCTCCTCCTCCTCCTCCTCCTCATCCTCTGCAGCCCCACCTTCAGAGCCTACCGAGTTGTCTCCAGAGAAGCCATCCGCCCCGACCTCGTCATCAACATCCACCTCAGCCTCTCGCTTGTTGCGCATGTGCTGGAGGGTCAGATAGTCTTCACTGCCGTCGAGCGAGTTGCTAATGCCACACGTCTTGAAAGCCCTCTGAATGAGGGTGGCAGGGATGGCCCTCCACGCCTTGGAGATCCACTTCAGGATCTCCTCCGGTGGAGGCTTCTTGAGGTTCCTGCGCCACAAACATG